GAGCCCACCATCGTCACAATACCACGAACGACAAAACCCTAGCTCGCGATGGAAAGTTTACGCCACGAACTTAGGCCACGATCGTGACCTAAGCTCCGCCCTGCCCGAAAATAACCCAGGCCTTTCGATCAGTTCCCCGCACTGTCAGACATCATCCATCAAGCATACCCAGAACATAACAAATTACTAAGTGCCTCTTACGATCGCGTTAGACGGCGTAACAAACTTAGAAAGTATTAGGCAAAATATAAACATACAACATACTGATACATATTACATAACACAACTATGAAGGGACGCAAATGTGCGTGATACAATAAAAAGGGGCCAAGCCCCACGAAATAAAATTATAATAAATTACAAGTTGATCAAATGGCACGCATGCCAAAGCACAAACTAGGAAAGATTCACTGCTCCTCTTGCTAAGCCTCCTCTTGGGTCGCCTGCCCTTGCTCTTCACCGCCTTCGCCAAACTGGAGGAAATCAGGAAGGACTATCTGGCCCTCTTTGACCGTATAGAGGAACTCTGTACCCTCCATGGTCAGCTCGACCCCAAGGTTCACCAGCTTCACTTGGTCCACGGCGTTCTGTAAAGCCTCATCGCTAATGGCCATAAGGTCGTCTCTAGCCTGAGTAAATCGAGCGACCATCTCTGACCGAGTCAACAACTTCTTCGTCTCCTCGGGCTCATCCTCAGCGGGGGCAGCAACGGCTTTCAACTTTTCCACCAAGTCCTCGGCGACTTTCAACTTGGCAGCCAGGGCGTCCCTCTTCGAAGCCATCTCCTTGCGACCCTTGCGTGCAGCATCTTCGAGCTCTCTGTCCCGCTCATCCTAAAGCTTCTTGACCTTTTATTCCAGGGCCACCACTGTAGTTTATGATTTCTTTAACTCGAGCTCAAGCGGAGAGCCATCCTTGGTATATACCACGACCATCTCTAGGATCCTCATCAAGGCAGAGGCATCCTGCACAAGCATGGCCCGCTTGTTGGGGCGGTCCATTTCCTCAAGCTTTAGAGATTTTTCCCGAGGAATGGACAGGGAGGACCCCTCGAAGAATTTCTTGTTATGCAGAAAGGGAGGTAGCTCGAACTTGCTTTTAACGGGCTCCTAGATAAGGTCCACAATTTCATTCATACGGGCGCGCTTGGGCCTCGAGCTCACAGGCAGAGGCGACGTCTGAGTGGCTGGAGGAGTTGACAATGAAGTCCCCGACCCTATCTGCAGGGGAGTCGTTCGCTGACCAAGGCAACTTCTTCCTAGGGCAGTGTCGCCCTTCATCTTTCCTTGGGCATGCTTTATCATCCTCTCCTATGCTGAAGAAATTTTACCTGCAAAAATAACGAGCACGTCAGCACGTGGAAAGAAAAAATCTCGAATAAAATAAGGAAAAGCGAGAAGCTACCGAAAAATTTCGAAAGCATTCTCACAAGTGCTACACTTGAGGAGCTCTTTAGTGTTAATATATCGGGCTTCCACCTACAGCCCCCCATCTTCCTCATAAAGAACCTGCCTGACGTGAGTGACGCACTGATCAAGAAAGAAGTCATCCACGAAGGCCACCAGCTTAACATAGCTGGCCCGATCATCATCTACCAACTGATGAGGAGTAACTATATACTCATCAACCGAACGAGTGAAGTGAACCCTGCTCCAGCAGAAGGGGAAGGTGAACAGCCTCCGGACAACTATTTTACCCTCCTCGTCTATCAGGTCCTTTCGTCCGTGGAGAACTCCCATAGTAAAGTCGAGTAAGTGGATTTCTCCGACACTAACTGGATCACATAAAACCTCTCTTTAAAAGTTCGAATGGATTCAGAGAAAGGCTTGAACAGTTTCCTTCCCTGCTTCAAGGAAACCCAACCAAACTTCCTCCCTGACACCTGCCGCTGAAGATGAAAGATGGTAAAGAAGAGCGGGAGGGTGGCCCCAATCTGCAAGTACTCGCACACCAGTTCATACGCCCACATGAAGGCAATGGAGTTTGGGTGCAGTTGAGAGGGTGCCATGTCAAGATGCACGAAGACCACCTGTTGAAAATCCGTGAAGGGAAACCTCAGCCATATCTTTTTAAAAACGTATTTGTACATGGGAAATCTCTCCCTGAGCACTGAGCAAATACGTTTCTCTTCTGAAGAAAAATGGACCCTCCACTATCCCTCCAGCCCCACCGTGGTAAATGCACCTCGATGTACAAAGCGAAGAGTGAGGCATGCTCCATTGACTCAACTATCGTCCACTCATCAGCCGATGACCTCGCGGTAGTCATCCCCCCAGCCTCAGGAGACAAGGAGTCATTGTCTGTCTCGGTGTCCTTCGAGGAGCTATCCTCAAACAAGTCCCTGGGATGTTCGTCCTTGTCAACTCTACGCGACATCGCTTTTACCTGAAAAGCAGAGGAAAAAAATGAATTCGATGACAAAATCAAATCCACCCTTCCACTGCTAGTCAAGTGAAAGGGCGTGCAAATGGTCAATGACATAATCCTCGACCTAAGCCCTACTTAAATGGCACAGCTAAACAAATGGGAAAGTGCCCAGTAGTTCTCCCTGGCACATCTAGGGACAGCTTCTCGCGCACAAAACCCAAAACTCCCATGCGGAAACCACCAGAGTCCATGGCTCCTCTGTTAGTGGCACCGTCGGGTCGTCTCTACCCCGGGACCAACTAAAACCTATGACTTGTTAACCTTCCCTTTCCTGAAAACAACCACTACAATACCGACAGCAGACAGATGGCCGCGCCACCGTCTGCCATCAACAACCACCGCAAAAACGCCTATAACTACATCATTTTAGTCCTAACCACATGCATTCTAAGACATCAAACCAGAAAAATAAAGAGTAAGCAAGGAATCGACATACTTATATGGTCGAGGAAGAAGTTCTGGACCTAAGCAACTCTCGTCAGATGTCGTACGGCGGTCGAAACAAACTTGAAGGCAGCGAGCGGTGGACGGGGATGGAGAACAAGAAGAGAGAGAAGCAAAAGTTTTGAATGAACGAATCCTCTCGCTATTGGCAAATGACAGGCACGTGCACGAGCACACGCGGGTAGGGCATCATCATGACCCTAGCCTAGTCATTATCACACATTTAATGCAGCACACGACTCGAGGCATACATGGAATCTCCACTCTTCAGATCCCATCAGTCGTTGGGCTCCCCGGATCCCAAGCTCCCCAACAACAACATTTTTGGTGCCCGGGAAGTATTCATCCAAACACAAGTAGCTCATGACGACTATGCCCGGGAATCAGACCATCCTTAAGTCATGAAATTCAAGGAAGATAAATATCTTTAATGACTTTCAAAATATTTGCTTTAGAACTCCAAGCTGTCACTTTCTCTATCAATATTCGAGAATTTCCAAAAAGTAGCAAAAAAAACCTATTTGTAGTAATTTTTGCGTGTCAGATTTGCACAATATTGCGCTCGCATTGTAACTCATTGCAGTCGCGTTGCTGCTTCATCCCGCCCACGATGCTGGGCATCACACACGCTTTAAAACCAAAAGCAAATGTGCCTTTTTTTTCTTCCTTTTTCTTCACAATTTCTCTAAGTTCGCTTTCTTCATACTTTTGCAACTTTGTTCCATTCTTCTACATTTTTGCTAGGGTTTTTGTTCATTATTTCTCCGATTATGTCAAAATTACTTACAAAATTTATGTAATGACAAAGTGACATTATTAAGCGTAGCTAAAATCTCTTTGTTGGGGGATATATGTAGCCACTATAGTATATTCATGTACTAAATATGCCATGGAGTTCAATGTAATTCTACTCATGCTTTAATACTGATGACTTTTTTTATCTTAATGTTTATTTTAGATTTGCTACATAAAACTTGTTTTTATGGTACGACGTGACATGGCATTGAAAGATGGTTGTCATTACTAGATTCAAGATAATTATTTATTGAAATACTAATGCTTAGAAATATGATTAAGTTCAATATCTGCACATATTATAGTATGATAGGTGTGGAGTCTTGCTGCTTTATAACTTTTGAAACTTAATGTTCTTTGTTGATTAATAGACCAATATATCGGTTATTGGGTAATGCACTGATCTCACAACGTTGAGACTAAAATGAGATACGAGTGAGAGCAATATATGATAGTTTTAATAGCTAAGTAGAGGAACATCTTAGTGACCTAGTTAAGTATATCAGATGAAAAAAAGTCAAACAATTAGGAATAGAAAAAGACTTAAAAAACTATAAAAAAAATTTATTATGAAACACTTCAAAATTATCGATTTAGATAAAAATATAATCTTGAATAGAATATTATGGCAAAAATTTATCCATTTAATTGATCCCAATTAGTGAAATTATGGTGGGTTGTTGTATTATTTATGATTTTAACAAATTTGTTCATTTAGATTTGTAAGTAACAAATGAACCACACATTTTTATAAGATAATTTATGGTGGACTCCCCCTATGTAGATATACGTATTTATCACCCACAAAAAATATAAATATATAAAAAATATTATTATTTTTAAATATTTTTTAAACTTTTAAAAATTATTATTTATAAATTAATACATAACAATGGTGATTGGTGAACCACCCGCATGAAGGGGTGTCAATTACATGTAGCCCCTCTCTAAATTACATGTACCCTGAAAAATTAGACAACGTTTCTACACCTAAAACTTCAATTCCCAATCACCATCCTCATCCCAACCAGGCCCCAACAATTTGGATATTAAAATCCCAAATTCCTTGAATAACAATTGCTTAAAAAAGAATCACTCATATTCCATTCTCTAATCTCTTTGCCATTGAACCCTCTCACTCTCACTCGTTCTCTTGCTCTACCAATTTCCCTCATTCCCATCCAATCCATCATCATCATTTGACAAAAATCAAACCACCTTCATGATCACCTTCCCTTAACTTTCAAGCAAATCCCAACACAAACATGCTACACAAATACAACACAACCACATTATTATTACATTAGCAACACAAAAAAAAAAAACCTTAAAAGATGAAGAACCGTTATCCACTCCAACAGAGAAAGCTATTCATCGGATTAGCAACCGTTGGATTAATCGGAGCAGCACTATTCATCGCCACCGCAATCACCGCCTCCGACACATCATCATTACACTGTCCAATTTCAACCGGAATCCGAACCAGATCAAACGATGACAACAACAACCCAACACCGATACAGCTACAATCAATACTTCACTACGCCACATCACGCGTTGTCCCTCAACAATCTGTCTCCGAGATCAAGATCAGTTTCGATGTATTGAAATCGTATAATCGTCCCTGCAACTTTCTCGTCTTTGGACTCGGCCACGATTCTCTCATGTGGGCCTCGTTTAATCCAGGTGGCAATACGCTCTTCCTCGAGGAAGATCCTCGATGGGTTCAAACCGTTCTCAAAGACGCACCGGGCCTTCGGGCTCATACAGTCCGTTATCGGACACAGCTCCGGGAAGCCCACAAGCTCATCACATCTTACCGCTCCGAGCCCGCGTGTTCTCCTTCTAAAACCTTCCTACGTGGCAACAAAGCTTGTAAGCTCGCGCTTGAGAATTTACCGGATGAAGTTTACGATACGGAGTGGGACCTTATAATGGTCGACGCGCCTAAAGGATACTACGCGGAGGCTCCGGGACGTATGGCCGCCGTGTTCTCCGCTGCTGTTTTGGCGAGGAACAGGAAGGGATCTGGTGTGACGCATGTTTTTCTGCATGATGTGGATCGTAGGGTGGAGAAGGCTTATGCTGAAGAGTTTCTTTGTAAGAAGAACATGGTTAAAGGTGTTGGAAGGCTTTGGCACTTCAAGATACCACCGTCTAACAACACTGATGATGCTCGTTTCTGTTAAACTATAATACTGTTCATCTTCTTCTTCTTGCTTCTGTTATCAGAGATAGAAACAATTTACCATTACCATGTGTTACAGATTTTTACGTTACATTTTTTTTGTTCAAAGAAAGTTAATTTTTTTTTTATTACAATAATATGTTATTTTGTATTGTTGTTGTTACACTTCGTTATTCCAAAATTTGGTGAAAAAGGAAATCACCGACGTATAGATGATTGGAGACGTGACATTGCCACTGCACCTTCCTATTCCCGACAAGAATGGTCACATGCGAATAATCTATTTTACTTTTCTGGTTAGACCTTTAGATGTTGCTGGGACACTAAGAAAGGTATGCTGTACAAATTAATGCTCACTTTATATTTAAAATTGGTGTCACTTTTGCAGTATTTGTTTGTTTTATAATTAGGTGATTTGCAGTTTAGTGTGTGTTAATGTGTCACATTATGATCAAGAAACCTGAGGTGTACTTTGTAAGTTTGTCAATAATTAAGGGATTCTTTAATAAATGTAACATAATGATAAAAATACAAAGAACTTAATTGATAGTCAATCGCATTTATTTTAAACTTAAAGTAATTAAACTCAAATATTAATATTCTATGAAATCAATCAAAGTATTATATCTCGAATATATAGATGTAGGAGTGAAAAGGAAGAGACAGAATATGATTGGATAATAATGTTTTAAAAATCGGATCGGAGGTCGAACCGGTGAAACTTATAGTTTAAAGTTCAATTGGTTAAATTGATTAAATCTAAGGTCGAACCGTTTAACAATAAACAAAATTAAATTTCATAGATATTGTACATGCAAATATATTTTAAGTCGAGTTGTATAGCCGAACAAGGTTAATCATGAGCTAGACTACAGTAGCAAGAAAGGTCGAGCAATGCGGAGAGTTAGGCAAGTATCATCCCAACCCGGACCGGTCAGGGAGCCCGACTCCCATCAGCTGAACTCTTATGAGACCGAGTATGGACCTCTATCAACTCGGTATTTACGCCGGGCATGAACTCAACCGACATACGAATAATTGTAACGGTGACGGTGCGTCAATGCAGGCGTTACCAGACCTTCAAAGCTTGCATTCATGAAGGGGAGTTACAACAATGATGACCATGTAACGTCAGAAGGCCAAGAGACTCCTCTTAATGGCATATTTTCATGGAAGACTATAAAAGGGGGTCCCACATGAGGGTTAAGCAAGACACATTCATCTTGAGACAATACACAACACAAGTGTAGCTCTCAAATCTCCAAATATCCCTCAAGATATAGACAGCGTAACTCTTTTTGTCCATAACAAGGGAAGTTAGCACTTTTGGCTAGAACATTTGGCGCCCACCGTGGGGCCTTGGTAAAACCACTACGCCAGAAATGACTTAGCAGCGCAACAAAAGACAACGCTTTCTAAAAAAGCGCTGCTAAAGGGTCATGAAAAAAAATAAAAAAATAGCATACCTAAGACAGCGCTTGTTAAAAAAGCGCTGCTAAAGGGGGGGGGGGGTCAAAGAAAGCGCTTTAAAAAAGCGCTGCTAAAGGGGGGATCTACGAAAGCGCTTTTAAAAAAGCGCTGCTAAAGGGGTTCATAAGGCAGACCTATAGCAGCGCTTTTAAAAGCGCTGCTAAATGCCAAAAAAGCGCTGCTAAAGGGGGTCCTAAGGCATACCTATAGCAGCGCTTCTAAAAGCGCTGCTAAAGGGGGTCCTAAGGCAGACCTATAGCAGCGCTTTTAAAAGCGCTGCTAAATGCCAAAAAAAGCGCTGCTATAGGTTTAAGTAGCATAAATTTAAAAAATTCCAATATTTTCACAGAATCAGAACAGTCTTCTTCTTTCTTATTTCCACTCGCGAACGTTGCCCTATTCAGAATTAGAACAGTCACCGTCGACGCATTCCGTCCGCGCCTCCGTCCGACAGCCTCCGTCCGTCGTCTTTCCTCCGGTCATTCCTTCGTCACCTCATTCTGCCGCCGTCCGTCCATTGTTACGGTATTTGAAGTTTTTCATTTTGCATTTTTCTGGATTAATGTCTTAGTATTTCATTTTTTTGGATTATATGATGTTAGTGTTACTTCTTTTCTGAGTTTTTGACTTGTTTTTGTTGATACCGTTGATGAAAATTACTCGTTTGATATTGGCTTGAGTTTTGTATACAAGGTGTTTGTTGAAATGCCACAATGAATTTACTTATGTTAACTTTCATTATATCTAGTCGTATACAAGGTGTTTACTGAAATGCCACACCTTATATGAGTTCTTTTTACTAATAATTTTTATAAGGGAAATACTGCACATATATTCAATGATTTTTTAGATTATGTTGCTTTAGAAACTTCATACTATTTGTGATTTAGATGAAAGCTTTAAGTTTCTGTTAATCTTGAAATTTATTTATTTTTCTTAATCCTTATTTTTCTATGAAATAGTCTAAATTCACAAATAATCCTTATTTATTTATTAAATTTTAAAACATAAATATATAGATCCGACAACTTTTTTGAAATAAAGTTTGTTTGGCGAGTTACACAACATTTAATGAATTCACGTGTCTTCATGAATGTGGATATAGTTTTAGAATGTATAGATTATTCATACAGCTTTATGTTTGTATATGTATAATGATGTTTGATGTTGCAGCATTACATTGTATCAAAATCTATATTTTGAGGGACTATATCTTTCGTCTTCTTCAATTGCAAGTGTCATGATCAATCTTATTCCCGGAGTTACATTTTTAATAGCAGCCTTTGTAGGGTAATTAATAACTAACTTAACTTATATTTGTTAGTCAATCAAAATTCAAACCAATAATAATATGTTTCTTTGAATATTTTACAGAATGGAAAAAGTAAATATTAGAAGTTTGAGAACTATAGCCAAAATTGTGGGGACTTTGATATGTATTTGTGGAGCTTTGTCTATAGTATTGTTGAAGGGTTCAAAACTATTAAATGTAACGATCATACCTTCAAAATCAATCATGGCTGGAAGTGATACTGATAAGAATTGGTTGCTAGGATGTGTTTTTCTTTTGACAAGTAGTGTTGCCTGGTCATTTTGGCTAATTTTGCAGGTACTTAATTTCAGTACAATCAAAGTCTTAAATAACGGTCTATGCTTACGCGATTTTAGTCGGCACAGGTGTTAGTGGTTGTTGCGGATCTGAATTAACCATAATTAATTCCTTATCATAAAAACCGTCAATAACAGAATCAATAACAAAATCAATATCGGTACCATCAGAGACTGTTTTTTAAAATCTTAATAATTAATACTTATGATATAACTATTATTCTATAAACATATAACATTTCACCCTTATATATTTTTCAGGTTCCAGTTTACAAAAGTCATCCTAATTATTTATCACTGTCAGCTTGGATGTGTTTCATTTCAACATTACAATCAGCCGTAGTGACAGTATTCTTGGAGCCAGACCTTAATGCATGGAAGATTAATTCTCTACTTCAATTTGGTTCCACTTTATATGCGGTAATTTTTCATGGTGATACACACAAATATTTATACATCATAATCCTAGATAATTTGTAATAAATATATTTTATAGGGAATTATGGGATCAGCGGTTATGTTTTGTCTTCAAGCATGGTGCATAACACAGAGAGGACCTCTTTTCTCTGCATTGTTTAGCCCTCTTGTGACAGTGATTGTGACTGTATTGGTTGCTTTGGTACTTCATGAGGAAATATATATTGGAAGGTAATGATAATGAAGATTAATTCTATAAATACATATTTAATTATTAATCTGATTAACAAAAACTTCAAATAATGATAAGAACTGAAAATTTCATAGAAATCTAGTACTTAATGATCTACATGGGCCTGTTCAAGTGTATTGTTACTTATCTATTATTGTTTTTGCTTGTGCTGTTGTTAAGATGAATCATGTTCTATTGAATTAAGCTTGGAAGACATTCAATTGAATAATGATACAAAGCTTGAAGAAAACCGTGTATTTGTGGCTGATAGTGAACTCCATGCAGTCTCATACAGAATTCAATAGTCAAGTAAAGATTGTTAAGTTTATTTCTTCCTAATGTGACATCTGATATTGTATCTATTTGTAAAGTTATCAGATTTGTAATTATATGTGAATTGATTGTATATGTGATTTTGTTCTGAGGATCGGACTGTGTTGTAATATATTTAAGTAGGTTTATGTGTATAATATTTCAAAGTGATGAATTATAATGTATACTTTAGTTATTGTGTATAATATTGCAAATTGATGAATACATAAAAATAAGGCCAAAATAATTGTTATATATAAGGCCAAACTGTTGAACTAAAGACCTGAATTATAAGCAGGGAATGTATTTGTTATAAGCAGGTTTATTGAAAAATATATAAAAAATGTGATTATTTTTTTAAAAAAAAAATTCAAAATCGTGAAGAATAGACAGCGCTTTTAAAAAAAGCGCTGCTAAAGGAGCAAAAAGAGGCATAAAAAAGCGCTGCTATAGGTTGGAAAATGAGGGTCTAAGAAAGCGCTGCTAAAGGGGGGTCTAAGACAGCGCTTTAAAAAAGCGCTGCTAAAGGGGGGTCTAAGAAAGCGCTTTTAAAAAGCGCTGCTAAAGGGGGGAGATGAAGGGGGATTAGGCAGCGGTTATGAAAGCGCTGCTATAGGGTGAAAAAAGCGTTGCTAAAGGCCAAAAAAAAAAGCGCTGCTAAAGGCAAAAAAAAAAGCGTTGTCTTTACCTTTAGCAGCGCCACTTTAGGCAGCGCTTTTAAGCGCTGCTAAAGGCAAAAAAAAGCGCTGCTAAAGGTCTTTTTTGGCATAGTGAACTCTCTCAGACCACACCTTACACTTACAACATGTTCTCTAAAGAAGATCCACTGGACATGGCTCAACTACTAGGCATGATGGAGGTCATGCATAAGCAAAAAGAGACGTTGCAAGACATTATACAAGTTATGCAACAACAAAGTCAAGCTGACGGTGATCAAGATAAGGAGGTTCTCGAGCCACAAC